GAAGGTAGGGCGGAAGGCCCTCTTCAGCCTGCTTTCAGGAATCGTGGGAATGGGTGGGTGGTGGTTCGGGTGAGAAAGTTGAGACGGACGAAATGAAGACAGAAGAGAATGAAAGATTATCTGTGGAATATTACTGCCTCAGCATTTGCCTAAGTGATCCAAGGAAACCACAGAAAAACTTGGACCAAGGCAGACGGGCCCGGAATCGAACCGGCGTCCTCCCGAATGCTAAGCAATGGTCTAGACCTCTAGGCCATGCCGCTCGGTGCAACACTCCTGTGGTTGTCTTTCATTTATACTCATTTCTACTCAACCACATCTCCTTCCTCCTCCTAAACGTATCCCTACTTCTTTCCCTCTCTCCACCAAATAAATTCTTTTCAAAATTCGCATTCTTCCTACTATAAATTCAACAATATATGTATTAATGCTTACACTCACTGACATCGTCAAGAGCCAATAACATCATGTGACCAGTAACAGCAACCGTTTAACAGTAACCATTTAACAGTTACACGTTTACGATCGATGATGTTTCGTCAGTTACCTACTCCTCTGTGCTAGAATCGGTTATCTTACCCTACTGACCTAGATTAGATTACTGTTCTCATATAGTTAAGGATATGGATTGTTCTAGTTTTAGGGAAATGCGAAGATTAGCTCAGAATAGGAAACAGTGAAGGTACGTGTCCAAGCAGTCTTAGAACTGACGATCTTGACCTTATGATGATGATGATGGTGAAGAAATGTGGTTACAGGGGGTTATGTTATGATGATGTTGTTCATCTATACATTTAAAAGCCCTATTCTTTTTTAATAAATCGGTTAATAAATGAATCAACATTGCAAAATTTTTGATAAACCTCCGAAAGTAACTAGCTATTCCTATAAAACTTAGAACTACTCTTATGTTGGTATTGGAAAATTAATGATACTCTTTAATTTAGGTTTTCCCAGTGAAATTCCTAACTCACTGATTTCAAAGCCCAAATAATCAATTTTTCTCAAAAAAATTGGCATTTGTCAATCCTCAAGGTTAGATTATTCCTTCTTAATATTTTTAATAATTGTCTTAAATTGTTCATACCCTCTTCTATAGTTTCACAAGGTAAAATGATGTCTAAATAAGCCATTGCAAGTGTATTTTTAAAATTAAGTTTATAAACCTGAGAAACTGCGGGCGCCTTATATAAACCGACCCCCATTCGTTTTAACTGATATACACCGTCGGGTGTAATAAACGCTATTTTTGGTTTCGAAGATTCATCCATTGGAATCTGATAATAACCGCTTTTTAAGTCTAAAGTTATAAAATACCGTTTGTTGTGAAGTATGTATAGTTGATCATCAATTCCGGGGAGAGGTAATGATCCTTCTTCGTGATGCGATTAAGAGCTCTGTAGTCCATACATAATCGGTAGTCTCCCGTCTTTTTTCGTACCAATAACTTATGTTGGGTAGCATCTTTTAAGAACATAACTTATTGTAAGATTTATCTCCTTATGCTTCAAAAAAATTAATAAATAGTCCGTTTTACACTTTTACCCCCATCATTTATTACGTTGAGGGATTTTATAAATATGTTTCTTCTGTTCTTATACTACATCTTATTACCTAACATTTCATATACTACTCACTCCTCCAACTCATTAATTACACTAACTTATAATTTTTTGAAACACATCGACTTCCACCAAATTTACTATCATAACTTTTCTTCTGCGACACCTCTCCATTGAAATCATAAACGGGTAGTACATTATAAATAACAACTTTTATCTTCTCTACGCTTCTTCCATTATTACACTTTTTCACCAATAAACAATTACTACTGTTCCAACATTACATACAAACTTATGTCACCATTCCTACCTTCCTAATCCCCCACTATACTATACTCCTTCCCCAATAATACTTCATCATCCCCACTATTCCCCCACCACCTTTCTTCCTATATAAACCATTGAAACTTTCGTAGAGCATCACTTCATGAGAAGGGTCTTGCGGTTTACAATGGATCTTTCTCGTGTATCCACTGTCCTTTCACCATTCCGACAAACAACCAATTCAATTGTACCTATCACCCGGTTGCAATGCAACATTTGTCAACGTCTTCGTCAAAGCTGTAACGTTGCAACAGGGTTCTGTTGTCAAGAATGTCTTGATAACACACCTCGACTTTTTTGTTACAGCTGTAGAATGTATAACGTCGATGTTGTGAACTCATGCTGTCGACCTTGTCGTCAGGGGGTTCACTCATACCTCTGCGAAAAGTCGGGTCTTCTTTATGAGATCGATGATACCCATACACTTTCCTGCCTACTTTGCACTTCAGCTGAACAAAGGTGTCATCTCTTTCGGTCCATTATGATGACACCATCCTTGCACTAACTTTTTTCCTAATTACCTTTCCCTTTCCTTCCCCACCCTACCAAACTTTCCTTTCCCACACGTTTGACCTTGACACACTTCTTCAAATATATACCACTCTTACCTACATGTTGTTTTTATTAAATCTACTTCCACATTACATCATCATTTATTTCAGAACAAATTGTACAATATACATGTTTACGCTCCATCAACATTTACGATATTATTACAAATTTCCCTCACATAACCTTCTTCAAATACACTATCCCTCCTTAAATGATGGTTATGGGTGCAAACAAATTCGCAACTGCAAATCTCTCCGCACCATCCGCAATGAATGTGGACTTCGTCGTGGAGGTGAACTTCTAATATCCACAAATTCGGTACTCGCGTATACAACGATATTATTCTACCATTGTTCGCTCCATACCGACAACTCCCACACATAGGTATATAACGAAGATTATTCCTATAGCAGTACAAGACGTAAGCAGATGTATGCTGTATAGTTAATTTTGCACTCAAACAGTTTACGGGCTACGCTCCACTCTTTCATCCGACTGATGTCACTTACATACCTCACTGCTTTATTTTCACTGTACTGCTGTCTATCCACGTAGTCTTCTCTACGTAACACGACATTACGATGTACCTCGTCCAAAACCTCCACATGTTCAACAACGTTCCAATATTGTACGTCTTCTACACCACCACACACTTCATGTGTACAGTTGCCGCTACTTACATCCATCCTCGCACTTCAATTTTCACACTTCTACCTCTTATGTGCAACACTCCTGTGGTTGTCTTTCATTTACACTCCTTTCTACTCAACCACATCTCCTTCCTCCTCCTAAACGTATCCCTACTTCTTTCCCTCTCTCCACCAAATAAATTCTTTTCAAAATCCGCATTCTTACTACTATAAATTCAACAATATATGTATTAATGCTTACACTCACTGACATCGTCAAGAGCCAATAACATCATGTGACCAGTAACAGCAACCGTTTAACAGTAACCATTTAACAGTTACACGTTTACGATCGATGATGTTTCGTCAGTTACCTACTCCTCTGTGCTAGAATCGGTTATCTTACCCTACTGACCTAGATTAGATTACTGTTCTCATATAGTTAAGGATATGGATTGTTCTAGTTTTAGGGAAATGCGAAGATTAGCTCAGAATAGGAAACAGTGAAGGTACGTGTCCAAGCAGTCTTAGAACTGACGATCTTGACCTTATGATGATGATGATGGTGAAGAAATGTGGTTACAGGGGGTTATGTTATGATGATGTTGTTCATCTATACATTTAAAAGCCCTATTCTTTTTTAATAAATCGGTTAATAAATGAATCAACATTGCAAAATTTTTGATAAACCTCCGAAAGTAACTAGCTATTCCTATAAAACTTAGAACTACTCTTATGTTGGTATTGGAAAATTAATGATACTCTTTAATTTAGGTTTTCCCAGTGAAATTCCTAACTCACTGATTTCAAAGCCCAAATAATCAATTTTTCTCAAAAAAATTGGCATTTGTCAATCCTCAAGGTTAGATTATTCCTTCTTAATATTTTTAATAATTGTCTTAAATTGTTCATACCCTCTTCTATAGTTTCACAAGGTAAAATGATGTCTAAATAAGCCATTGCAAGTGTATTTTTAAAATTAAGTTTATAAACCTGAGAAACTGCGGGCGCCTTATATAAACCGACCCCCATTCGTTTTAACTGATATACACCGTCGGGTGTAATAAACGCTATTTTTGGTTTCGAAGATTCATCCATTGGAATCTGATAATAACCGCTTTTTAAGTCTAAAGTTATAAAATACCGTTTGTTGTGAAGTATGTATAGTTGATCATCAATTCCGGGGAGAGGTAATGATCCTTCTTCGTGATGCGATTAAGAGCTCTGTAGTCCATACATAATCGGTAGTCTCCCGTCTTTTTTCGTACCAAAATGCAGGGGCCTGCAAAAGGAGAATTTGAGTCTTCAATCACATCGGCCTTTTTCGCCTTCAAACACTGATAAATAATCGATAGGGTTTATAATACACAAGTGTATCATTCACAAGCTCGATTTTCATTTTCACTTTATCGGTAACTCCTAATTGTCGCATATTTCTCGCCACCACATCTTTATATTCATTGGTATGTTCTAACTCGAACTCGGCGTCATCACCCGTTAATTCGGTTTTAATTTCGTCCTTCGTCATTTCATGGGTATTTATTTAGCGTTCGGGAGGCAAGGTTTTGATGTTCGCTTCTTCACATAATTAACCGCGTGTTGACACTTCCTTCCGTTATTATCATTTCAGTCTCTGCTAAGTTCATGACCTCCAGTGTTGACTTTTCTTCATGGTCAGTAGACACAATGCATCTTGGTATTGCATGTCCATCTTCCATATTCCACCACCAATCGTGTTTTGAGATTTCTGCCTGCACTCTTGTTCGACCTACGAAATTGCTTGAAATAGTAAATGTTTCTAACGCCCTTAAAGTTGTTTTGTTGCAGTCTTCTGGAATTGTTTCACCCGAACTTTGAATTATAAGTTCATCGGTTTTACTAATTATTACGACATGCCTTTGTTCTGTGACCGGATGCCCTACAAGCAATTCGACTTCCTGGGATTCATCGGGTACAACATGAATTTTAACTTTTGCTGAAATTCCGTCTATGTTCAAGAGAGCAGTGAACAAACCCAAAGGTTTTATAATCCCCTCTCCGTAGCCAATCAGTGGTTGTGGCTCACATTCGTAGAACAAAAATCCCAATCAATCGGCCGTGATTTTACGTATTGTCACACAACTACTACCAAGATCGATGTAACATCTTATCAATTTTTTAGTAACATATGCGTCTTTAAAAGATTTGGAATGCTTGCCTGCAGCTTCCTCAGTAATTTTTAAAACGTGTCCCCTCTGCTCTGAATTGCTACTGGATACTTCGTTTTGCTGATTTCTGTTTGAATTTTTCAAAGGGCATTCCCTTACATAATGACTCTCGCACTTAAAACATTTCACCACTCGCCTTTTGTTGCTTACAACATCATACCACCTTGATCTATCACCACTTCTTCCTTGATTCACCACCATAGGAGGCTTAGTTGTTTCAGTATTTCGATGGATATGCTTTAATAATTGCTTAATAGACATTGAATCATAACGAACTACCGGCGCGAATGATTCTTGATGGTCAATCTTTGTTGTGTGAAACTGCGTACAACAAGGCGTGCTTCATAGCGAACGTTTTTATTGTCACCTTTAATACGAAACACCCATCTGTCAATCACACGCGAACCCTCCGGTAGTTTCACCAAGTCCATCAATCATTAGTTCATATTGCGTTCATTTAGTCTTTCATCGCCTTCTTTCATTGTTTGGAATCTGCACTTTTAATTGCTTGTTTGTAACAATCGGGTACAAAAGTTGGGCTACAAAATGTAGTCGTAACATAATCGTCGTCCGATGTATTATCATTATCTTCTTCACTGCCTGTAGAACTTCCTTCCTTTGGTTGATCATCTAGAGTATGTTCTGGCATTACTTGCTGTGGAGGCGTTTCATATGTAGTCAGGTCGAAACTGAGTGAAAAAGTCTCTTTCGCACATCGCAACTGACTTCAATTTTTCTCTTTTCTGGATCACAAAGTCGGTAATTAGTGGAATAACCTTAATATATAATATAATTATAACAAATAATAACCTTTTCGATTTTAAAAATGAATGCGGAATTGACATATACGTGACGCAACCAAGAATTCTTAAGTGCTTCGTTCCAGGTTTATACCCGAACCATTTTTTAAACGGAGTCGAGGCATCACCTGTGTCGAAGTCGCTCCATTTAGCAAGTAAGTAGCAGTGTTTATAACTCACGGCCATAGTTCTTGTCATACATTTTTATTGATTAATATTGTTCGAACACTTTCGACAATTGTTCGTATCTCTCTCTCTGACCGTCCGTTTTGTTGAGGTGTATATCCCGAAAAAAGTTCATAGTATATAGCCTCCTTCTGTATGAACTCTTAGAACTTTTTGTATATGTATTCACTCTTCCCTTGGTTACCTCTCAACGCTTTGATTTTGTTGCCGGTTTGATTTTCAACCAAAGCCCTAAATTCCTTGAATCTGTTTTGTCTCAAGAAGTAAACCGTTCTGTAACCGTTACAGTCATCCTATAATAAGACAAAGTATCTGGAACCACTAGGCGATACAACATTAATTGGTCCACATACATCAGTGTGAATTTTTAGGCCTGGCTATTCTAGCTTGTTTTCCGAACTAACATGTTTATCGTCAATTTTCATGTTTTTCATCATGTAGTTTTCAGTTGATTTAATTGTCATGTTTTTGTTTACATGGCCGAGAAGCTCATGCCATAATTTTAACGAACTTTCTTGCTGAAATTGCACTATGGAGAAACGATCACTCTGCATTTCAATACCCACTGATTGTCTTTCGCGTACCGGCACATGACTCTTTTCTGTCACTATCGCGGAATTCGCAAAGATATTTGTACGGATGAAGGGTGAAATCTCGATTTGTTATAGCTCCCATTGAAAGTAGATATTGTATCAATACTGAGATATACAAAACGTTAATGTAGACTCTGTATATGTCATTCGTCAATCATTTTTAATTTGGTGAACCATTATGGTTGGACACGTACCTCCACTCTTTCTTATCCTGAGCTAATCTTCGCATTTCCCTAAAACTAGAATAACCCACATCCTTAACTATTTACGAGCAGTAATCTAACCTACGTCTACCTCTACCCCTACTAACTCCTGTTTCTAGCTCTAATATGTCTCTCACTAGACCTTCATGCCTGAGAAGGTGACCTACCAACCTATTTCGCCTATTTCTTATTGACTTCCATAGAGTCTTCTGTTCCCTATTCTTTCTAATACCCCTTCATTTCTAACCTTTTCTATCCACGTTATCCTCATCATTCGCCAAATTGACTCGGACAAATTAACGAACTGGCTCCAAATTCTTCGCATTATTAGATTACACTAAAGGATTTTGACAAATTAAGCTATCAGAAAGGACGCAAAAGATATTAACAGTTGCTACTGCATGAAGAAGATAGTCCTTCAAGAGGCTTCCATTTGATATATCTTCAGCACCTGAAATAATCCAAGAAATCTTAACAAATCTGCATTCATTTAACCCTTCTATAAAAAATACGCATAGTCAAATTAAAAAACCTCAAAGACTGTATCAATGACTTTATGACGACAACAATATTAATTTGTAATCAATTTATACACACCACAACTAGATTTTCACCCTTTAATTTACTGTAATGTTCATACGAAGAACTAAATATATACAAAATGGACTTAGCGTGACATACGAGGTCTGTTCCAAAAGTATCGCTAATTTTAAATTACCGCGGGTAATACTCATGCCTCTCACTTATACCGACAAGTTCGGCCATCTTGAATGTTCAATTAATTTTTGACATCTGCTTTGCTTACACGTGTTTTGGCTCGTCTTCGATTTTTGCCTATTCCAAAAAATGAATAAAAGAATATGTATCAAATTTTGTGTGAAAAACAAAATTAAGTGCGCGTAGGCATTCCAAATGTTGACTGTGGCATATGGTGAAGATATCTTGAACCTAAGCAACGTTTACCGTTGGTACAAAATATTCTCAAAGGGCCGAGAAGATGTGAACGACAAGGAGCGTGTCGGACGCCCGTGCACGTCAACAAGAGACGAACATTGATGAAGTGAAGAAAATAGTATTGGCCAATCTTCGAATGACCGTTAGAGAAGTTGCTGAGGATCTAAACATATCGGTTGTCTCCTGCCATTCGATTTTTACCAATGATTTTGCATTGCTAAGGAGCTGTTGAACTCTGCCCGCGGTGACTCAAAGGGTCATAACTAGTGACGAATAATAGGTTTATGGTTATGACGTGGAAAACAAAACTCATCATCCCAATGGAAGCTGCCGCACATGCCAAGACCGTAAAAAGCGCGCTAACTTAGGTCGAATGTGAAGGTTTTGCTTACAGTTTTCTTCGATTGCAGGGGCGTGGTTCATCATGAGTTCTTGCCACAGGGTAGAACTGTCAATAAGGAATATTACTTGCAAGTTATGCGCAATTTGTGAGTAGCAATCCGCCAGAAACCCCGGACAGAAATTGGCCTTACATCATGATATCGCTCCTGCTCACACATCATTGCTTGTGCGCGAATTTTTGACCAAAAACAACACACCAATAATGCCGCAGCCACCGT